TCATATTTTTCATGTATTTATTGTTTGCATTTCCGTATCGGTTCGCTATATATGAAATACCACTTCTCATTCCCTCTGAGAGGTGTTCTAACACGCCTGCTTTCTAACAAGCCTGTTATTCTGTGGGATGCATGTGGCAGACCACGGTAAAAACCGGTTTAGTTTCTTTTTCATTGTACGAACAAATTGCAAAGTCAGCCAATAATGATTGCGTAAAATCTTTATTGATGATTTCTTCTTCCAAGCCAACCAATGGAAATGTACATCTTCACCGAGTTTTAATCAATTTTCTTCCTCCAAAGAACGTTTCTTGGCATGAAGTTCATCTCTTGTCAGTTTCATCTTCATTTATTTATCGATTCATCTCAGCTCTATTTTTAATAAAGCTATTAAACTGTTCTTTTGCTTAAAACGTGAGTCAATTTATTGCCACTTCTCACACCTTTCAAGTTTATCGGTATAATGAAAAGTGTTTGCTGTTATTGTACCTCGATGTTTACTTGGCGCAATCATGAAACACGTACAATCCAGTCCACCATAGTCAACAACAGAGACATAAAGCGACAACATTTCCTTCGCCGGTAAACAGTACTAATTCTATTTAGAGAATAATAGAGTTCCTGTTCAGTTTAGTCATTAGCACCTTAAACCAACCCGTACATGTAACCTACTCATCGATACTCATAACACATCTTTCCGATTTCCCTAATTTTTCCAAATTGAGATCTTAATACTCCATTATGCTTCCATAAACGGGGGGTACAGTTCCAGCCATAATGTATCAGCATAATTAGGGATTACGCTAAAGGCATGAGACCGGCATTACAGGAGAAACAAGACAGCCAATGCCTTCTGGGTTATACATAAAATAAAAAAAACTTCTTTTTCATTTTCAAAAGTGGGAGAAGTTAACTAATTCCAATTAATAGTAGTTGATCCACTGAGGTTCGTAAAAATGCCACTCTCTTCCTTAGCAGGCATCTTTATTGTTGACGTTGTTGTTGTAACATATATATATACATATTTTTCGTTGTTTTTTTTATCCTTTTTCTTTTTTCTGTTAGGTTAGTATCTAATTAAGTGGAATTGTATAATTTAATTTATTTAATTAATGTTTATTTTTTAATAACATTGTAAAACTTGTCTTTAGTTTAATTCATTAAAAAATTTTTAAAATAAAACGACGGAAGAACACAACAGTTGCAGCGTCAAACAGACTGAAGAAAACCAGTCCTGGACATGCTCCAAGGTCTTCATCATCTCCTGCTAAGTTCCCTTGTAAAGTGTGTGGCAGGTGAGTTTACACCTGTAGTGCCTCACAGCTGCTTCCCTGCATGGGGGTACTCCCTATAATGGCCTGAAACGGGGAGTTGGCACCTTTTACAGGCCTTAGGTATATGAAAGGGCCTTTATTAGTTTGGGTAGGGTAACGAATATCTTAAGGGTGGGGGACAGAAGCAAACCGATATTGGTATTTGATATCTGTTGCTTTGATTAATTTGCAGAATATTCCACACGATACAGGGTAGATGGGTACACATGAGGCACCATGCAAAATAAAACTAACCAAAACGATGACCAGATTGGAGAGCTGCAGAAACGGTAACAATTAAGAGTACTTAACTCTTTTGCCTTTTGAAAACAAATGAATAATGAATGATAATGGCTAATAAAGGTTTTTAATAGGATGGAAGCATAACGTGAAGTCAAGCCAGAAAGGTAAGAACTTTGGACCCAGACTTTGGAAGACTAAAGCATTGACTTAAGTTCCAAGCTTAGCTTAAGACTAAAGGCGATGAGCATGTATTCACCAGTTAAAGTATCCAAAATCTGTCTTTTCGATTGTAAAAGGCTCCCCTGGCACAGTCATATCAAATACTTAATTGGGAAACTGAACTTAAGAAATTATCTAGTTAAAAGAGCTAAAGGCGAACTCAATCTCTACTGCATAAACTTGTTATTCATTTCCACTCGTGAAGCCTATCTTTAAATACTGTTGCTCGGTTTGGGGTAATACCCGAAACGACCACTGTGTATGATGTTCAAAATTGTGAACAAGGAATGTCCAGATTGTTTCACAAGTTATAGGACTTATATTAAAAATATCCATAGCTACAACACTCGGTTATCTCCTAATAATGCCTTGGCTGTACCAAAATGCCGGTCAAACGCTGGTCTGCGAACATCTTATGCGCGTGCGACCCGTCTTTGGAATCGTCTAGACGACAAGCTTAAAAACATGACCAATGAAAGTGACTTTAAGAAACATTTGCTCAAGAGAAATTCCTAAACATTAATGCAATTCGCAAACATTGTAGTATTACAAGGACATCTTAAGGTACCTTTTTTATTTGTTATCTCGATTGTACTGAACTAATTAGGTAGCCATTTTTAGCCATTTTCAATTTTTTACCCTTTAACTTCTTTTTACGATATCTTTTACATTTTAGAATTAATTGTATATCGGGCCCACAATGTGTACAATGTAAACTACTGGGTTTATTTCTTTATTCATTTACAGCAGTTAAAAGGGATGCAATTAAAGTTCTAAGTAGATGTATGAAAAGGGTACCATTTGTCAATGTGAGGTATTCGAAAGGAGTACCTTTTCTGTTGAAAATAGTATCATTTACAAAAGGGTTAGAGGTTAAACCTCATGGCGGAGCGTTCTTGTATGAGCCTGGACCTCCTGATATGCATGTGAATACCCAGTAATATTAATGACCTCATGTGAAAGGGAGTTGAGGGTTGCTTGTTGTAAAGAGTTGTTTTTATCATCAAATAACTTAATGTTATTGTCATTTCATTAACACAATTTGATGGATTGAGGATAACCATTCTACTCTCAGAAATGGCTAAAGCCAAAATTGATCAAAATTACAAATTTCATTTTGTAAAATGCTGAAAAACTTATAGTACCATTTGAAAATACTGTTTAAAAGACTTCATTTGAACGCCAAAAGATTTTATCCACAAACTCAAAAGTTAGAAACACCTTACGTACGAGACTCCTTAATTCATTCCTTGGAAGTGAAAGGGTTGGTGTACAGACACTTAGGTCTTGTTAACGTGCTCTACATGTTTTTTTTGTAGCTTAGCCCAAAAATTTTAACCAGCAAGTTAAAATTTCGGAATGTAAATCTATTAAGGAATTTTTTTTTTAATTTAGAGTTCTCAGCTCTGCCAAGTTGAAACAAAAGCCAGACCTGTCTGCCTTTGTTTTGTTACTTGGGAGGCCTTTATTAGTTTGGGTAGGGTAAGGAATATCTTAAGGGTGGGGGACAGAAGCAAACCGATATTGGTATTTGATATCTGTTGCTTTGATTAACCTGATGAGTTTCACACTGTACTTATTTAATTTGCAGAATATTCCACACGATACAGGGTAGATCGGCCCACATGAGGCGCCATGCAAAAAAATCTACCAAAACGATGACAAGATTGGAGAGCTGCAGAAACGGTAACAGTTAAGAGTACTTAATCCTTTAGCCTTTGAAAACAAATGAATAATGAATGTTGATAACTGTGTACTTGTTACTCTATCGTGCGATAGAGTTCGACGTCAACAATGATTTAAAAATATGAAACATTGATGATGACGGATTTACCAGCGAAACATGCCTGAAAAAATTGAAGCGCACAGTCGCTACTTTGTATCAACTATGTTTTGGTTTGTCACAAAAGAGCAATTTTTTACAAGACGACAATGGCTTATTTTTTGCACTTTTGCAATCTTTCGCAGACTGGCATTGAAACCTAGCGTCTTTTAGGCACAAGTTGTTCAAGCAAAGTTCTAAGTAGATACCGTGCCAACATTGGCAAAGAACGACTAAATGTAATAAACAATGCCATCAAGAAGACACTTGAACAGAAGCACGCCATCCTTATGATGATAGATGACTATCATATCATACATACTGTCAGAAGACCGACAGAAGAGGGAAACACAAGTGGATCACAAGGCTACCATCATCATCAAGATTGTAACAAAAGCTCCAGCCATTAATTCCTCTTTTATCTGTTCATATAATTCGTAATCCCTGTGGTGTTGACTCTGACCTTCTTGTAAATTATTTATGTTCAAACCATTTTTTGGTCAAGTAAGTTCTAATTTGTTTGCCTCGTCAATGCCTGAATTAACTTACTCTATGTTTGATCCAGTAATGGGCGGACATCTAATGGAAGCACACGACTATCAAGTTCTAAATCTTCAATCTTTGCGTTCATTTCAAGATTTTTATTTAGCTAATTTTCTTAAGTTACCTTTAAAACGCGGGAAAGATTATAATGATGCTTTTGATATTGTATTACAGACATCAATGAGAGAATATCTCTCAAACAAGTGGTACTTATGCCAGCTGACTGGCCTGGTCAGTTTTTTCCAAGGCAAATAGTGTACCAGAAAGCCAGACAAGCAACTTCAATCATAACTGTACCTCAGGGCTCTTCCACTCATCTTCTGTGCTGTCATTCCCACTTTAGGGCCCTCGCCTTAATGCTGATGATGATATTGTTTTAGGTTACATGAGGCTTGTTTACGAATCTCTTTTTCCAGGGAAGAACCTTGCAGACAAGCCAAAACCCTGGCGAATTAAAAATTAACCAATAAAAGAGTGCAATCTCTGATTGGCCCACTCAGGAATGATGAAAACAATATTATCCTTGACGATTGATGTGGTCAAAGCTGAGGCTATGAATCATTACGTTACAGCAATAGGACCAATCCTTGCCTCTAAAATTAACTCTGCATAGGGCTTCATTGATATGACTCACTTGTATTCAGTCTTGCCCACAATTTCACAAGTTCCATTTGATCAAGACGAGCTATTTAAACGCCTTTAGTTAGCATAATTAATCCAAGTAAGACTTTAGGTCCTGATTCTATATCCCCTCGAGATTTCACCTTCTAGGTGAAAAAATGATGAACCGATTGTACACTGTATTCAGTTAAGCGCAGGCTAGAGGAATCCACTGTACCTACACAATGGAAGATATCAAGAATGCATACCATCTATAACAAGGGTGATGCATCAGACTGGGGAAATTATCGCCGCATGTTAAGTGTTCCCAGCAAGATCCTAGAAGCATTAGTATGCGAAGGCCTGGACGAGTTTATCTCAGACAGAGGACTTCTAAGTAATACCAAATGGTGCTTCCGAGCTGGCAGGTCAACTGAGGGTCTTCTGATACATCTAACTGAAATCTGAAAGCAAGCATTGGATCACAGACAGGTGGACACTTTCAGAAGGCTTTTGATACGGTATAACTAGAGATCTTCTAAATTGTATGATTAGTTATTTAACAAACAGAAAGCAGTTTGCCATTGTAAAAGGTTGTACCTCACAGACTAGAAATGTCTGTTGCGGAATGCCACAAGGTTCCTTGCTTGGGCCAAAAGCAGCGACTCCTTCCAGTGCAACTTCAGCTGTAACGTCAAATGCTTTTTACTTTGAAATAGGTCCAGCTATTACAAACTATCATGTTCCTGTACAAGTACAGGATCACTGCCACAACCATGAGAACCAAAACGTATCTACAGTCAGGGTGCCACTGAAACACCCATTAGTGAGTTAAAAAGGATCATGTCACGCTACAGTCAAACCTAACCCTATAAAACCTTCTAGCTGACGATATGACAACCACAATGTAATGATAAAAGGCTGGGGCGGTTATAATGGTGGCTTCATTTCCATCATGCCCTATATTTCTTTATCTGTTTTGGAAGAGATGGACTGAGTATAGTAAAATATTTTTATGGGCATAATAAAATAATCAATAAATTATTATAATAATGTAATAATAATAATAGTTTTATTTTTCAAATTATTGATTATAATTATATAATAATTGATGTCAATTCGGTATCATTTGTTTCAAATGATTTACAATGTCCACTGAATCAATGATGTAAGTGCAACGTTTTGATTAGGATAGACTTGTCCATATAAACTAATAGAAACAAAGGAGGACGGATCGATACCTTAACCTGCAGCCCACTATTAATCCACAATTAATATCTCTTAGTAACAAACTGCAGATTTTTTTAAGGATATGCAGAGTAAAGTAAATTTGGAAGGTAGATTCTCCATGATGATTGTGAGATGATTTTCTAAGAGTTATGCCACTGCCAGACTATGTAAAGCCTAGAGGCACTCATTCTTGTGCCATTTAAACCGTAACAATTTAATGGTGTAAGGCCATTATGAAACAGTTTCAGCCATGACAAAGGATAATGCTACAGGCATGAGAACCACAAATTCTCCAGAGTGTGCCTCCGAGAAAATATCACCAACATTTTCATCAACATATTTCATTAGGTTACTTCTTCATCACATGAGAAACAAGACAGCCATTGCCTTCCGGGTTATGCATACTAAACCTGTAATGTCACAAAGGTTGCTAGGTGAATCTTGAATTTAATTTTTTTTTCACAAAGTTATGGTGGGTACCAAAAAAAAACGTGAGCTAGCATAACGAACATGTTGATCTAGAGCAACTAGAAGGAACCTCGAACGTGTCAGTCTTTTCTGTTGACCCTGTAGATCACATTTTGGACAAATTTAAGTTTTTCTTAGACACCAAGCATTCGTTCAAGTCTATTTTTCCAGCTCCGACTCTGACGCTAAGAAGCTCAAGCGAGAGGTTGGGGTCACTGGCAACTCAAAATTCAAAGCAATGCGGAACATAATTTTTATTCTGTTTAATGCAGAAATAGAGGAACATAGTTCCTTTGTGCTCGATACTGTACAGAAAGGTGAACGTCGCAGGCACAGAAGTCCTTGGAAAGGAATTTGCGACAAAAACTTATCAAGCTAGCCAGATAGTTCAAGACCTACGTAGGAATCAAGCTGGAGAACAAGAGACAAAATAAAGAGGGCACTCCAAGGTGGCGGTTCAACAACAAGGTACAATAACTCCGTAATTCGTAAAAACGAGGCCAATACGTGACCGTTTACAATGTATCAATATTGATCAATATTGTCACAGGTAGTGCAAGAATACGAGCAGGAGGAATTGGCAGACAACTTAGAAGATGAAAGGAGCATTACAATGCAAAAGTAGCCAGAGGGCTAGTAGCGCCGAGAAGTCTCGTTTGGTACATACATGTACATAGTCTGATACTCGCAATGGTGATGATTGGCAGCTTTTTCGAGGTAATATGTCCGTTTGCCCTTTTTTTGGTACTTCCAGAGCTTGTTCTACCTGAAACAAGATACCCAACCTGTGTTTTCTCTACTTGTCTTTAGTCTCTGTTTTTCTTGTGCAGTCCGAATAAGAAGGGAAATATTTTTCATTCGGACGAACTCGGTAAGGGAGAATGAAAATGACTTTTCCTTCGTTTGAGGGGATAGCAAGTATGCGCTATTTTCTTTGTGTCTTTTTTGTCAAGAATTTGTTCTTACACTTTCCAATTACAAACTATTGTTCGTTCGTTTTCACAGTATATAAGGAGAGCATTTGTACTGGAATATCCATTCCAGGTTTCAGGTCTAGTCGCACCTACGAGACGCTAAACTTTTCATTGTATTTTGTGCTTTGAAAGGTTTTGGTCAGTTTAATTACCCTTTTTTTTTTTATTTTCTCTGTATTTTGTGTCTTGTATAAGACCATAGAGTTCCTTGTCCACCCGACCTGTGTTCAGCTGTGGTCACAAGGGATACATGAAATCCCAATGCAGGATCGCCTTAGAGCAGCCTGGGTCAGCTTTCGGCCCCAAGAACCAAGAATTGTGGTATCATGTAGTTGAGACACAATCCATTACAGAAAAATAACTTGTGGAATAGTGGTATCAGCATAAAGGATTACGCTAAAGGCTTGAGACCCATCACAGGAAAAACCAGACAACCAATGCCTTCTGAGTTATGCGTACTCCACCATTTTGCCTTTTCTCGACACATGTTGGATTTTATGCGTTAAGCCACAGCCAGCTCAATAGCAACAGGAAAACAATGGCTGCAATTTGTTGTGATGTTTACACTTATAGTGAAGTATAGTTGAACCTCGCAAGCAAACGTACTAGACGATTTGGAGTTTAGTTTAATGTTGGAATCAGTTTTTTAACCTTTCCGTGAGCTGGCTAAGATAGACGTACGTGTTTTGAGTGCTCCGTGTAAAATTTTCCTTCTTTCGTAATATCTGAGGTTAAATTGTTCATTTCGCTTTCGACTGTTTGTTTCGTTCTCATGTTTTTTTGTTGTTATGTACTTGCCTTGTTTTATGTTAGTTTATTCTATTTCTTGTATTACAGTGTCTTTACTGTTATTTAGTCCATCTGTCGATAAACCTTGTACTTGTAATATGTCTTCAGTTCCCCCAGCCTCGATAAGTTCATAAGCTATGTGCGGGTGGAAAAGTAATGTAATTAGTTATATATCTAATTTTGAATAAAATTTGTTGTTTCTTTTTGTTGTTGCTTGTGATATTATATTTTTGTGTTATACTTTCGAAAGGATTTGACAGTATGTCTTTTTTTACGTTGATTTTTTCAGCAGCAAGTGGGTGGTTATTATAAATACTGTGTAATTCTTGAGGATAATCAGGATCAACTTCTAGCATTAATCCTTCTTTACTATCCTCAGTGTATTTTGATAGATTTAATTTTTCAGTTTGTTCTTTAATCATTCATTTAAATCCACTAGTTGGTAAAAATTTGCTCATAACGCAGCCATAGAGGTTGTTAGCGTCCAGATACATGATATATTTCGAGGTTTGTTTATCATAATTTTTCATGTATTTATTGTTTGCATTTACGTATCGTTTCGTTATATACGACATACCAATTCTCATTCCCTTGGCGGTGTTCTAACACGCCTACGTTCTAACAAGCCTGTTCATGATTCCTTGGATTCAAGTGGCAGACCACAGTAAAAACCTGGTTTAGTTTCTTTTTCATTGTACGAATAAATTGCAAACTCATCCATTGCTAATTCCGTAAAAGCTTTATTGATTATTTCTTCTTCCAAGCCAACTAGTAAACAGTACTGATTCTATTTAGAGAATAATACAGTTCCTGTTCAATTTATTAAAATCATTATGTTCTCCATTACTTATTTCGGTGAATATTCCAATTTGACTTTACACGGGTATATCTTGTTTTAATGCAAAATAACTTTTTTCTTGTCCAAATCGTGCTACGAAAAATAACGACATGGCGATATAGATCAAAACAAGATCAACGCCGTCCTTGCGACCACTGATCGTGACAGGTATAAATTCAGTCATTAGCACCTTAAACCAACCCGTACGTGTAACCTACTCATTATACTCATAACACATCTTTTCGATTACGCTAATTTTTGCAAACTGAGATCTTTATTATTAAAGTTTACGCTAACGCATGAGACCGACATCACAGGAGAAACAAGACAACCAACGCCTTCTGGGTTATGCATAATTCACCATTTTGTCTATCTTTTCTGGACACACTTTCTCCCACCCCAGAACATAGAAAAAAATCCAAGATGGCGGCTACTCAATTTTGAAGTTTCTAAGTATAATCAAAATAACCTGACCACGACTCTCAAACATCACCAACCATCTTTTCAACCTTCATACTTGGCTATCCAAAAACTTTACCTAAAATAGGCTGTCCCATTTGAAAAATATCCAAGGTGGTTGTGTTGAAAACATTCGTGACTGCTATATATAGACGAGTGTTTTTGGAGCCTCGATTTGAGCATTTTTCGAAGAGCTCGTGGTTGCGAAAAAGTACATAACGGAAGTGTTTTAACTGCTGTTCGGCCTTCTACTACTTCTCACTTGTATTCTGACTCATGGATAGGATTGTGGGCTTTAAACCGGTTGAGATTGTTTGTGATTTATTTGTTGTGCACTGGATTTCTTTCCACACATATGATATCTTAATGATGTTCAAAAGGCTTGCTAGAACTCGTAAAACATCACACATTGTGTGGCTCCATTTCCATCCCAATATTCAAAATATTTCTAGCCAAAGTTGTTCCTGTCAGTGTGGCAAGAAATTTAGGGACATGGTTCGATTCTAACTTGAATCTCCAGGAACAGATCCAGGAAACTTGTAAATCTGGTTTTTTCCATTTATACAATATTCGGCGTATCCGAAAATATCTGTCCCAGGAGTCTGCACGAACTTTGGTCCATGCTTTTATCATTGGTCGTATAGATTACTGCAACAGCCTTCTGTTTGGTTTACCCTCTGTTCATCTACTTAAACTGCAACGCTTGCAGAATGCAGCTGCTCGGCTTATATCTAATGTCCCTCGCTACATTCACATAACACCAGTACTATGTTCGTTACATTGGCTTCCCGTCAAATTTCGTATTGATTTTAAAATACTTCTTTTTACTTTTAAAGCTATCTACGGTCATGCGCCTGGTTACTTGATCGATTTGATTGCTATTAAAGAACAGCCGCGCTATAATCTCCGTTCCGCTAGCGGTCTTATCTTAAAGTATCCTGGTTTAAAACTGAAAAAGACTTTAGGGGATCGTGCTTTTTCATCTGCTGCCACTAATTTATGGAACAATGTGCCCCTTCATATCCGTCTTGAGGACAATTTTGAACGTTTTAAATCTTTACTTGAAACTGTTTAACTGTGACAATAGACGGATCGAAACGCACCAATCACTGATTACGAGTCTTCATAGCCAATAACATCACGGCTTAACTGACATAATTGACCAATCAAATCAATAACCAGAGTATCATACCATCAACTGACGTGATACAACTCACTTTGACTCTGAAGATGACTACCGCACAGGTTGTCGAAACGTCAGTCACTGTCAACAACAACAGTCCTAGTCAGGACTACGTTCACCTGGACGATCAAACTCAACCTTTTGAAATGACTCCTGGGTTCAAACCTTTCACAAACCTAAAAGCGTTTCTAACCTGAGTCACTTACTAGCTTTCAGGAGTTGCATCTCAGATGAGTTGGAGTTATTGCATCTTTTTTGTCGCTTTTCTTACGGTGCCTCGTTAGATAAATTTGAGACGATGTATGGCCTCATTTTGACTGTAAATGGAAAAGGAGAAGTTCTAAGGAAAACGTAGTTGTCGTGTTAATCTTGGTTGTACAAAGAAGAAGGCTTTTAATAATAAGCGGGTATAATCATCTAGTATTTGCCTTCCAAACGCGAAGGCGGCTTAAATACCAACAAACAGAAAACAAGGTTTTAAAAAAAGATTTTCCGAAACACTTCAATTACACTTCTCTATTTAATAAAAAGTGCTTTTGTTCCAGGACATTTTCCATCTTTGATTGTCAGTCAAGAATTTTGTATTTTGCTAATTAACTTTTGTTTCTCGCGGTTTCTTTCTTGGAGTAGGGGTCAAAATGGCGCGTGAATACAGCTAAAATCAGAATTGCTTTATGGTTACATGGCTTGTGCTCTA